AAATCTCTTTTCAATATTTCCCATTTGGTTTTGTTTCTGAAAAGAATTTCCATATCCAATTGTTCATCTTGTAAATTCCTGTAGAGCTGTCTTGTGTGGTTGATAATGAAAATGAGGACAAACTCTTTTGTTTTTCAATATTGTCAGAGAGTCCACTTGATGATGATGTGTTTTCTCCAGTATTAGATTTAGCTGTTGATGAGCTAGTTGGATTTAGTTCAGTTTCGGTTGTTTCAGTAATTTGTTTAGGATTATCTGATGATATCGAATGACGCAGTTCATATTGTCTATTACCAATCCTCACTTTCAATTCATATAATTTTGTCAATATCAACAATCGAATACATCTCAATATGACAGTATTCGAAAGTGCAGGCACAGCCAAATAATAGATTAGTGAAAATATGAAACATGGATAAATCTTTCGTCCAATTAACACTCTAGTCATTAATACGAAAGTATAGGTCCATCCAATAATTGCTCCCATGACCATCAATGCTGGATTCCTGGCAACCTGCAAATAATTCACAACTTGTTTGTGTTCCTTTTGGAGAATATGCAACTTTCTCAATTTATAAACTAAACCTCCAACCGAAACTAATAACAAGCTTGTATGAAGGAACAAAACGATAGCTGAAATAACAATGGCCGATGTGGTGTCATCACACAATCCCTTCTCACTCTTGTTTCCTTGTGAAAGGAGGAGTGGATGACAGATCGTTGAATCATTTGTACTGGGATTCGAATAGTTAGAGACCAGCAACGCATCAAATATTGCCGTAGGAAAGATCACTTTGGCAGACATATGGTGTTTTTTTTTGTTGTTAGAAAGGTGAAAGTGGGTGAAAGTACCGTATTTCTAAAATTGTGTAGTGGATTCCCTTTTGGGTGCCATTTTCATTGTGTTCGTGATATAGAACCAACACGAAATATGAAACGACGATTTTATTTTGTGGACTAGCATAATAATCTATCATAAAGTGCTAATAACCTAATTACCACCTACTTGAGAAGGCAAATATTTCAATCTTGGTGAAATCAAAAGGACGACCACCTTGCAAAGTACAGGTTCCTTTCTTGGAAATTTCTGCAAATGATTTTACATAAATAAAGTAGTTTGAATCAGTTTTTGGAGTTGCTTTTTGTTTTTCACATGTGAGAATCAAGTGATTGTTAATTATTTCAGCTCGCTCAGAGTCTTTTCCAATTGGGTTTTCAAAATAAACAGATTGTTTCTCAGATTCACTCCAAATAATGGCAAGAAAGCCATAACATGTTGATTGCTCATTCACTTCCTTCTTAAATTCCTCAATAGATGTTTTTGGGTTGATGGTAAGAATCAATTGATTTTGATATCTGAAACGTGTTTGCAATTCAAAATGATATAGTTGATTTGAGTCTAATAAGGCACATTTCATATTGTTAATTGATATTTTGATTTCAAGAGGTTTTGTTTTTGAAAACTTGTTGCCTTGGAAATAGTTCAAATTTGGGAAAATGGCACCTGACAAGTCACATTGGTTGAAACTGTTCTCCCAATCATCACTGAAACAATATCCAAACATATTACAGGATTCAAATTCACAATTTTCAAATTTAGCACCTGATTGCTTCCAAAATTCACAGTCTTTGAATAAGGTATTTACAAATACTTTTCCTTTCAAAGATTCTTGATCGAATGATTTCTTTTCAAATTTTAAAATTGGGGTACAGTTTCTAAATGTTGCATTTTCGGGATTGGAATTAGTGAAATCTATATTTTGAAAATCACAATTTTCGAAACATGCATATTTTAAATTGCATGAGGTCAGATTTGCTGCAGAAAAGTTTCTACAAGATCTGAATTGTGCACTCTCAAGATTAGAATTACTCAAATTTGCAGAATTAAAATCACATTCTTTGAAAAGTACTTTTTTCAGACTACAAGAGCTCAAGTTTACCGAACTAAAATTACACGATTCAAATGTTGTGTCATCCATTCGATTTGAATTTAGTTTGGCTGATGTGAAATTTGAATATTTGAAAAAAGAATTGTCCATTTTTGAAGAACTCAAATCACAATTCGAAAAATCAGCATTTGATAGTGTTGCTTTGCATAAAGAGGAATCACTCATTACACAATCTTTGAACGAAATTTTCTGTGCTTGTTCTAGTTTAACTCTATCCAAATTAATTCTCTTCAAATTTCGACCAGTAAAGTCCAAAATAGGTACATGCATTATCTCATGTTTAACAATCTCCAACACTGCACTGCTGACATCAAGTGTAGTGCTGTTACTTGTTTCAGATTCCAAGATTTTCAACAAATTCACACAATTCAACTCTTTGCAAGCATTTATCAATTCTAATTTTTGATATTCTGATAAATCTCTATTTACCATTCCGTACTTTAACCAGTTAAAGATCATGTTAAATATTTTGTGTGGACAATTAACAAAATACACAGGATCAGTGAATAAATTGGATGGTGTTATTGTAGGTTGAATTTGTTGTTGTGTGAAAAGTTTAGAAAAGAAGGTGTCTGTTTCTCTTCCACTTTTAATTAATTCATCAGGAATGATGGTGCGGATCGTACCACCAACATTCAAATGAACGGGTTGTGAGGTAGTGATTGTGGACATTTTTTAATACAATAAATCTTTGCATGACGGGCCTTGACATGTTGATGGCATCATTTAAATTATTAAAAACATTTTCTTTGAACTATTCCACTCCCAACCTCCTTATATTCATCTTTAGTAATCCACAAAGATTGAAAGCTTGATAATGATGCAAGAATGCTACCTCCAATCCAGACTGTTTCGCATCCCTTAGTTGGGCCATCCACACGAATTTTCATTGATGAAGGAGCTACCAGTGTTAATTCCTTGTGTATCCTCTCTGACATTCCCTTAAACATGGTTGTTCCACCTGAAAGAATAACATTCGAATATAAATCCTTTCTAATGTCAATATCACAATTTCGAATAGAATCAAATATTATTTCGTGTACTCCTTTATCTTCAATTCCAACTAAATTAGGTTGAAACAGTAATTCTGGACATCTGAATAGCTCATTTCCAATAGCGAGAAGTGTTCCATCTGGCCATTCATAATCAACAATAGATGAATTGATCTTATATTGCTTCATTTCCTCCTCAAAATCCAAAGCTACATAACAATATCTTTCTTTCATATCTTTTACATATTCTCTTTCAAAACTGTATTGTAAATTGTATCCTCTTTCTTTCAAGAGGATCATCAAATGGTCAACCAAATCATCTCCTGCCCAATCTAATCTGCAAGTGGCATGCTGCAAAGCATGACCTTCAAACACTGGAACCGATTGTGTAATATGATAACCAGAATCCAAAACTATTCCAGTCACGCCACCAGATGCATAGAGCGACAATACAGCTTGATTGGCCAAATACATGGCTGGTACCTTATACCCTTCAAACATGATTTGAGTTGTTTTTTCTCTATTTTCCTTTGGATTTTGTTGTTCAGTTAGCATGACTTGATGTTCCTCTGGCACAACTCTCAACTCATTGTAAAAGGCATGGTTCCAAACCAGCTCCATATCCTCCCAATTTGTGATCACTCTCTTGTCCACTGGATAATGGAGACAAAGTGATTCTCCCCGATGAGAGGTTGCTCTATATCCTACATATGTAGGATTGCTTGAAAGTTTATTCCTTCGTTTGCCTACGATTGAAGGAAAGCTGTCTGTTGGAGAGTTTTCACCTGCAAAACCAACTTTACACATGCAAGATCCATTATCAATCACGATAGATTTGTTTAGAGACATTTTTTTGTTGGTTCTAGTGCAAATGATGATTGAACAATGTACTTGAAGAAATAATAGGGACACGAAACGAAGTTAATGGTTGACTGGGGTAACCTTAAGAAGTTTCTTCAAATCTTGGTTTTCAGTGTTGACTAAATTTACAGCCCTGAATCCATTGAGAGTTAATTTGTGTTTGTCAGCTCCATGATCAAGTAAATATTTACAAAGAGAATAGTTTTGTTTGCAGGCAGCCAAATGTAGACATGTGTATCCATCAAAATCTGTAGCATTGAGATCCATACCTCTCTTTTCAATGAGATATTCCACAATTTGTGTGCTACCTCTTGCACAGGCAATGTGAAGGCAATTTTGTCCATAGGTTCTATTTCCAATCATAAAGTGATCATTGTTACACATTGGTGGAAGTAGATTTTCACACATCCAAATAAATTTTGAATAAGCATTGGAATAGGCAAAGTTCATAAGAAGGGTAGAACGATTGTAATCTTTCACATTGAAAATATTCAGAATGTCCATCGTTTCACGGTTACGATACAACATTTCATAAAGCTTACACAATTCACAGAACAGAGCTGTGCATTCCTGTTCTGGATCAAAAATTGCTTGTAACACAACAGATTTTTCTATATAATGTTTCAAATTATAAACTCGAATCAAAACAAGTGGTCTTTCCAATTCGTATGAAATTATATTCTTCCAAGCAAACGGATTCTTTATCGTTTTCAATTCTTTCATGATGAAAATATCCACAAATTTCTCTTTAGGATCCAACAATTCTACTCTCATCACACAACTGTTACTTTTTTCATCGAAAAAACAAGATTCTACTCTTTGGAAATTACGAGAGAAATTATTTAAATACAATAATAGTTGAAAGGAAGGATCTTGATGAATAATTTGATAAAATTCGTGGCAAACTAAATTAGCAGATCGGAAGAGATTTTCCAGAGGTAAATACTCGAGAATGGAGTGATAAATTTCCCTTGGTAGTAATTGATTTTCTAATGATATCATTTTTTTTTAATTCTTTTTTTAGAAACTAATTACGAGAGAGATTGGCCCTTAATTTACATCTATTTTACACTCGTTGATTCATTTTACAAATAAACAAAAATTATTAATAAGCATACATGAAGTACAATCCTAGGATTCACAAATAAATATAAAAATTTAAAGATTTTAATTTTTTTTTCCAAAATCGCGATTTGAAAATTTATGAACTGTCTGTGCTAGAAAACAAAGTTTGTCATTGATTAATAGTTAATTAGAAAACCTTCTTCCAACAGGTAACCTTTCAAAAACAAAATGCCGCCACTCCTTTCCTTCCATTCTTCTTCCATTATTATCATCCTCATTCTCTTCATCAACAGCATTTTCTTCATTCACTCCTCATTGGCTTCATCTAAAACAACAATTATAAAAACAACAGCAAATAATTACAATATTAAAATAGTGGCAGGAAGTTATGGCAATACCATTGATTCCTATCATTTTCCGATCATATCCGAGAGTCCAATTTATGTGCAATCATCCTCATCATCATCATCTGTGGTGGTGATGGAGAAGGAGGAGGATGATGGTGATGAAATAATATATTTATCAGATACACAGTTTTGTGTGGTGAGGAAAATTCAGAAAAGTTTGAGTGTTGTGGTGGCAGGAAATGGAATTTGTGCAGTTCCTGGAGAGACAAGTGGATTGGCTGTTGAATTTTCATTGACATCACCAGGTGGTGTTTATTTGGATGAATCTACTAATATATTATATATTTTGGATAATGGATTGAGTAATTCAGGAGGTTTTGTTAGAACTGTTGATATGTCAAGTGGAATGTTAAATACTTTGCAATTGACCTATGAACCTGCAGTGCTTATGTTAAAAAGTCCAACAATGATAACAAAGAATGGTGGAATATTTTACATTGCTGATACTGGCAATAATGTTATTAGAAGTTTGACATTTACTGGACAAAATACTGCTCATTGTAAAGTAATTATTGGTGCAGTCAACCCTGACGTATCAATGAGTTGTGTTAATGTTGACCCATTGAGTTGTCAACTTTCTTCTCCAACAAGTATTACATTTTCATCTGATGGAATGATCATTACTGACCAGCAAAACAGTAGATTTCTCGCTTTACAAAATGGAATTGTGTATCCATATTCTTTGGTAATACCAACTCCATTGCAAATAATGAGTTTGGGAAATGCTGAATATATAGTTTCGAATGGAGAAATATTGTATTCCCTCACACAAACCACAAAAAATGGTGCAGATTCAACTATTCTCCTGAAGGATAAAAGTTGGCCAATTGGATATTTTGGAATTGATTCAGCACAAACTAATCTTTATTTCATGAGTCAATTGCCAAATTTAGCAGTATCACAAATTGTTAAATTCAACATTCAATCTCTTGGTCAGCCAACAGTCATTGGTGGTGCATATCCTTATACTTTGAGTCCAAACGTGCCTGCTTCTAGTTACTATTTTAATGGATTAACTCAATTAGAATATGTCAGTGATAGTGAAATTTATTTCGCATCCTATAATACAGATATTATCAAATTTGATATGACAGCAGGATTGGCCACAAGAATTGCTGGTAATATGAATCAACCATCAGCGTTATCAAAAATTTCTAAAGGCCTATTAGTTGCAGATACTGTTAATAGGTTAATTAAACTTATTGATGGTGGTGGATCTGTCTCTACTGTAGCAGGTACAAATTCAAATGGAATAGGTTGTCCTGAAGGAGTTCAGGCTACTAGTTGTGAATTGAATTTACCCAGTGGTGTGGTAGGTACACCCTCAATACTATCAAATCAATACATGTTTGTAATTGCTGACAGTAATGCTAATACTCTAAGGATGGTAGCTAATGATTTCACTGTTACAACATTAGCCAACTCTGTATCAAATGTGAGATATCCAACGGGTTTATATTACACTGCTAATGGAGATTTATATTTTGCTAATACTGGAACTTCTCAAATAATGAAATTAGCTCATGATAATACCATCGCAGTAATTGCAGGAACAGGAGAAAAAGGAAACAAAGGCGATGGTGGATTAGCTGTGAATGCTGCATTGAATTACCCAACACAGGTTACTGTCACTTCAAATGGAATATTGTATATAGCCGACACTGGCAACAATGCTATCAGAAAAATTGATTCCAATGGTATTATATCTACTGTTACACATAATGCTATTCAAGGAATTAATGGTGTTGCCACGACTTCTGAGGGTGAACTACTATACGCTGATAGTTATACTGTAAGAATGATTCAATCGGTAGCATGTATTAATCCACAAGGCCAAGTTTGTTCAAATCATGGGAAATGTGTGGATGGGCAATGTCTATGTGAAAGTGGATGGAGAGGTGATTCAGTGTGTGGAACTTTTTCATGTGATATTCCAAAACCACCAAATGCACATAATTGTATTGGACCTAACCAGTATTCATGTATGAATGGTTGGTTTGGAGATTTGTGTAATTTACCAATTTGTTTTGGAATTCAATATAATAATTCAGCTGTTTGTAGCTCACATGGAAAATGTGTATCTAACAACACATGCAATTGTGAAAGTGGATGGAATGGAAATACAAAATGTGGGACCTTTTCGTGTGACATTCCAAAACCACCAAACGCCTTTGAATGTATTGGACCTAATCAATATTCATGCATGACTGGTTGGTTTGGAAATTCTTGTGAACTACCAATTTGTTTTGGAATTCAATTTAATAATTCAGCTGTCTGTAGCTCACATGGACAATGTGTATCTAACAACACATGTATTTGTGAAAGTGGATGGAGAGGTGATTCAGTGTGTGGAACTTTTTCATGTGATATTCCAAAACCACCAAACGGTCAGCAGTGTATTGGACCTAACCAGTATTCATGTATGAATGGATGGTTTGGAGATTTGTGTAATTTACCAATGTGCTTTGGGATTCAATATAACAGCTCTTCTGTTTGTAGCTCACATGGAAAATGCATATCCAACAATACATGCAATTGTGAAAGTGGATGGAATGGAAATAAGCAATGTGGGGCCTTTTCGTGTGACATTCCAAAACCACCAAACGCCTTTGAATGTATTGGACCTAATCAATATTCATGTATGGATGGATGGTTTGGAGATTTGTGTACTTTTCCAATTTGTTTTGGAATTCAATTTAATAATTCAGCTGTTTGTAGCTCACATGGAAAATGTATTTCCAGTAATACATGCAAGTGTGAAAGTGGATGGAATGGAAATAACCAATGTGGAGCTTTTTCATGTGACATTCCTTCTCAACATGGAATTTGTATTGGTCCAAACACTTTCAAATGTCAAGATGGATGGACAGGACTCGAATGTGAAATTCCAATTTGTTTTGGAAAATTAGGAAATGATCCTAGAGTGTGTAACTCACAGGGAAGATGTATTTCTAATAATACATGTCAATGCAATAGTGGATGGAAAGGAAATTCTGAATGTTCTCAATTCTCATGTGATGGAATGGCTGAATGTTCTCAAAATGGTAAATGTATTTCTAATAATACATGCCAATGCAGATCAGGATGGTCTGGACCAAAATGTGATATTGTTGCATGTGATGGAGTTCAAAACTGTCATGCTAATGGTTTGTGTATTTCAAACAATACTTGCAAATGTAATAGTGGATGGGAAGGTCAATCATGTTTGGAGTATAATTGCAATGGTACCAACAATTGTCAACCGAACGGTCTATGCATTTCGAATAATACTTGTAAATGTAATGATGAATTTGGTGGAAATGATTGTTCAATACCTTACTGTTTTGGAAAATTGGGTAATAGTGGATGTGAAGATAATGGAATTTGCTCATTTTTCAACAAGTGCTCATGTTTTCCTCTTTACTTTGGAGATCAATGTTCATGGTTAGATTGTGATCCAACTTCAAAAGATACATCCCAAAATTCAACTAAAAGATGCTCCTCAAATGGTTATTGTGTTATGACCAGAAATAATTTGAATCAAAATTCTACCATTTGTGAATGTAATAAGGGATATAATGGTCAATTTTGCCAAAATAGTGATTCTACGAATGGATCGGGAACAATAGCTGCTATAGTTGTTACAATACTTGTTATAATTTTGGTATTTATATTAATGATAAGTGTTGGTACTTTTATCTATGTTAAAAAGTTCAGAAACAAATATCAAGATCCAGAGAAAATGAAAATGTTAAACAATACTACACCATCAACTTATTCAGAATCAAGTTGGTCAAATTCTCTCTCCATTCAGAATGACACTAGTTTAATAAGTAATACTCACAGTAGTATTTCATCAAAGACACATTTCAAAATTAGGGATAAAGAATACATAATGGAAAGAAAATTAGGAAGTGGTGCTAATGGTTCTGTATTTGTATTTAAGGAAATTAATACCAATCAGCATTTTGCCGTAAAGCAAATAGAAGTAACAAATCCATTTGGTACGGAATTTAAAGAAGTCGTGAATATGTTTGAATTGACTGAGGATTCTAATGCTCATATTGTACCAATTATTGGCTGTACAATGGTCGAGAATGGAGGATTCATTTGTATTCTCATGCCACTCTACAAGTGTGATTTGAGAGATTGGATATATACAAATCAAAAATCAATCACAATTGATCTAATTATTGAAATTGTAAAACAAATTGCTTTAGGATTACAATATCTCCATTCCAAGAATATGATACACAGAGATTTGAAACAAACAAACATATTCATTGCCAAAGCCAATGAAAAAGATGTATCAAAATGTGATGACTTTTTATTGTGCATTGGAGATTGGGGATCTTCCAGATCTAATTCACGATCTGGTCTGACTGTCTATGAAGGAACAATTCAATTCAGTTCTCCAGAAGCAATCATTAAGGGAGAAGTTGAACAAGCAAGTGATATTTGGAGTTTGGGATGTGTTTTCTATCAATTATTATCTGGAGATTATGAATCAATTTTGTTTAGGATTAAACAAGGCAATGATCTGGCAGATAATGAAGTACTCTTACCAAAAATTCTTAATTTTGGTAAAAAGATGAATTACAGAGATGGAAAGGTTCAATTTTGTTTTGAATTATTGTGTGAAATGATTAGATATGATGCCAAGATGAGATTAACTGCCCATCAAATTTTAGCCAAGATTGAAAACTTTAAATAACACCCTCAATTACATTATTTGTGTGTTCATGTTTTAGATTTTATTGGTGTCTATTTCCCTTCATCCACCAACAAAGGATGATCTTTAATAGTAAGAATGTTCAAATCCTGTTCATTATTAGAAATGATAGCTGAATATTTTCATGAACTTTTCACATCATGCTACATTGTTTCTTGGAATCAGAAATGATTGAATAAATTTTCCTTTCATTGGACACTAGCTTTTTTAATATTGTTTCTGGAGTCCATATTTGAAATCTTTAGTCTCAGTGGTGGTTCGGTATCGAATAATCATTTCAACGAGTAGTTCAGCAATACCCACACCATCCCTTGCACTAGTGTGTACAATTGAGCAATTTAGGATCATGTTCTTTCTGAGAACTCGTTTCACATATAATTCCCTAGTTTTTTCATCGTGTTCTCCATATGTAATATCACACTTTGTGAAAACAATGATTATTGGACTATTATTGACCTCTCTAATACGAACAATTCTCTGTAGCAATTTATCCAAAAAATTGTAACTGTGCTCTATTGATTTTTGATTATCCTTCGAATAATTACTCCAATAAGGTTGTGGTGGTATTGTTAGTAAAATTATATCACTAATCTGTATCATCCGATCCTGTAAGGACACATACTCATCCATTGCATATGTATCCACAATTTCCAATTGATATTTAGCATCCGAATATCGAAACTCTTTCAAATAAGTATCCTCAATTTGCATCTCATATGGAGAATTGAAAAATTCACCAGACAGTACTCGACATAGACTTGATTTTCCAGAACCATACTCTCCAATACAAAATATCTTACATTTCAAATCCTCAACATTCATTTGAGAATTTTGATTAATATTACCAACACTATTCGATTCATTTTTCTTCATTATTGGAATCAATTGTTCCTCATACTGAATCTGCAACATTCTCACTAACATGCAATAGTATCGTTTGGCTTTTTTCTTGATTTTTTCTCTAAGTTTCTTCTCTTCCTGCAGTAGAGAATGGCCAAGAAATTCCCTCTCCATCAAACTCAACCAAAATTCATTGAAATAATTAGAAATTTCCAAAGATTCGGATAAAAAGAAGGAACAAGTGGATTGGAGTGAAAGGATGCTCTTTTTTACTTCATCAATTTGTAGATTAATGAAATTATTTGATGAAGTGTTGGCAGTTTGATGATGAACAGGTAACAGAAAGGAAAATATTTCACGGAAAATGTCATGTGGTAAAGATAATAGTGTGAATTTTGACATTTTTTTTAAGTTGTTAATTACAAGTTGGAACTTGGTTTGGAACAATGTTCATAAAAACAAACTTATGAAAATTCATATTCTATGAATATTTACAGAGATGCCATGCCTCCTATATGTTGTTCTTGTTATTTTGCATTGTAATTCATTTATATTTGATGAAATCGAATAAAATCTTTAAACTTAAATAACATTCACCAAATAATCCGATGAAGAATTACCTGAAAAATTAGCACTGGCCTCTAAACCTGTTGTGTATAGTGTTGATTTTTTTCTGTATTTTCAAAACCGCCAAATAGCAAACCTTAGTATTTTCCTTTTTGAGAGATTCAAGTTCTGATTGAACTTTTCTCAAAAATAATTATTCCTCAATAAAAGTCTTCCATTTTGCAAAAAAAAAAATCGAGATGAGCAAACTGGAAAAAACGGAAGCCAAAAAGTCAAAAATTAAGATTAAAATAGGAGGCAGTGATGGTATAACACACTATACAACTTTTAAGGGAGCTCCCTGCTCTACGTAAGTTTTGATTCCTCCTTAATTCATCACACAATATTTAGGGAGTTAAAAGGATGGGAAATGAAAATCACAGTTAAGGAAGATGGTTCCGTCTCGGGATCTAATAAGAATGAAGGCAGTTCCGCTAAAAAGACCTATAGTGGAACGTTTAAGAACGGTTATTTGAATGTGGTTTCATCTTTTTCCGATGGAAAACAATTTAATTACACTGGTTTTATTTCGTTGAGTGATTCAAAAGCAAAGTTGGATTTCACGTGTATTTCTGGAGGCGTTGGATGTAGTGTTGGTGATAAAGGGTATTCTACTGGAAAATTAAAGGTTGATACTTGAGAATTACTAGTAAAGCCATTAGTTGAAAGTAATTGTCTCCTTAATTCCAATATCAAACTCAATGAACTACCACTAAAACTTTTCTGTTAATATTTCCCGCCAAGAAAAAATCCACTTTTATGCAGCAAAAAAAATGCCAGAAATTCGCTGATAATCCACCTGCTGGTGGAAAACGCGTCTTCGCCTTTAAATATTCTCGCGTTTTGTGATGGAATTTCCAACAACAAAAAACAACAATAACAATAATAATAACTAAGAAATGTCAAGCAGCAGACCAACAAGAGAAAGAAGATTACCGATTCATTTGGAAGATTATATCGTTGGTGAATTAGATTTACGAAAGAATTATGAAAAGGAAGAAAAGAAGAAACAAAAATTATTATTAAAGAAGAAGGCTGAAATTTCAAAGAAGGAACAAGCTGAAAAGAGAAAGAAAGAAGCAATGGAAGCAACAAAGAAAAAGAAGGAAGCTGTTAAAAAATCTATTAGAAAAAAGCCTACTTCATCATATTATACTTCATCTTCAACAACAATTTCTAAAAGATCTTCATCTGCAATTACACCATATACAGATTATACTAATCCAAAATTTAAAGTTTTTACATCAACATCTGAAGCAAGAAACAAATTAATTGAAAAAACACCTGGTAATAAGATTTTAAAAGGGTCAGATGATGCTTCTAAATGGTCAATGTCAAAATTAGATACATCAATTAGATACAAATCACTTAATATTTCAGATATTTTAAGTGGATGTTATTATGTACCAGGTAATAATCACAAATTAGATACAACTGGTAGTGATAGAGTACCTGCAGTTCAAATTTGTTTTTCATTTGATACAACTGGTTCAATGTCTTCATATTTAAATAATTTGAAATTTAAATTACAAACTATTTGTCAACAATTAATGAATGATGTTAGAGGTTTAGAAATTGCAATTATTGCACATGGTGATTATGAAGATTCTAAAGATACTGGATCATATTGCTTATACAAATTAGATTTTACAACAGATATCGAACAAATTATTTCATTTGTTCAATCAATTAATTCAACAAGTGGTTATGATGGTGATGAATGTTATGAAGCTGTTTTATTAGAAGCTCAATCTTTATCTTGGGTTAATGTTGAAAATACATTTACAAATAGATCACTTGTTGTAATTGGTGATGCTGATCCTCACAAATCAACTGAATGGTTTAATATTGATTGGAAACAAGAAACAAGTAATTTATTTGATAATCATCATGTTAAAATTCATAGTGTTAGATGCGGTTCATCTTCATGGTCAACAAAAGATTTTTACAAAACAATTTCAGAAGAAACAGGTGGATCTGAATATTTATTAGATACATTTGAAAAAACAATTGAAATGTTTTGTGGATTAATTTATAGAGAAGCTGCTGATAATATTATGATGAATGATACAACAATGCAAGCACATATTGATGGTGCAGTTTCAGGTGAAGTTACAATTGTTAAACCAACAATGTCTTCAAGTGATAAGATGATTGATGATGGTGAAAAGAGTGATGATATTACATCATTAGGTTCATATATTGTTACAGATGATGATATTTTAAAGATTCACACTGCAATTCATAGTACTTGTACAGAAGTTAAAATTAATGGTATTGAATTTGCAATTCAAATGAATGAAAGTTCATGTAGATTTGTAAGAGTTGATGGAGTTGTCTATATTGAACAAAATAAGGAAAAGAAGACTAAGTATGCCAAGATGGCTCTCGAAGGAAAGAAATTAACTTGGATTTGTCATGCTGGTAATTGGGGTCTTATCATTGATGATAAAATTGAAAAGAGATAGGAAACCAATCCTTAAAAACCATAGTCGAGTGTAAATAAAACTAATCTAAAATCAAATTATTTATTGAATTGTGGAATTCTAGAAGATTAAGGTCGTACCAACGAAACTGCCCAACAAGAGAACAGTTTAAATGAAAGGGAGAATGTCTTGAATTCTTTGAGAGCCAATTCCTTGCATGGTTCAACTATCAAACGAAAAATAAATAAAAGTGGTTTATTGGGCTTTTCTTGGTTCAATAACGAGAGACTTCTTGTGAAGTTCATCATCATTGGTGATAATTCCTTCAAAGATTTGTTCTTTAAGAACATATTGAAGGTAAGGAATAGGTTCTAAACGATACAAGTTGGAACAACTTTGTAAATCCTTTACAGTTTGAATAGTATTATAGTAAATTCTTCTCTTTTGATAATTAATGAGTTTCTTGTTTGGATTCTTAGGGTGATTAAATTCATCAGGATTACCATCAGAAGTGAAGGTCAAATCAGTTTGGAAGATACCAATAAATGGAACGATTGGAGTATTATTGTTAACAATGGTATTCTTCAAATTTTCTCTCAATTTGATACGATTGTTAGCATGTAAGTCATCAAAGATCTTAAAGATGTTGGCATCGTCTTGTGAGAGAACTTTTCTTGTTTCTTTCAATCTATAAACAGGAACAGATTGCAAACCTGAAATAATGGCAAAGAAGGCACTATAGTTATTCAATTCATAAGTTTCCTTAGCAATTTCAACAAACTTCTTAAACAATGCCTTTCTAATTTCGGTATTTGACTCTGTCAAGATTGTAGTTTGAACCCAGTAACTGATATTGTTTACACGGTCAGTCAATGAAGAAATGTGAGGAGCCAATTCATACTTGTACTTGATATCACTCCATGCAGAGTTATAGAATTCGTTTGCTTCAATCTTCTTAAAGATCTTCAAATCAATAATAGTTTCTTGTCTAGCAATTTCAGTAGCTGGCCAACTCAACAAGTTGAATTGAATATTGTAAGGATTAGGCATGCCTTCATTAATGTATTTGGACTTTTGAATCTTCCATTGGTTAAGAGAGATTTCTGGTTCTTTCAACTTTTCAATTGGAACACCTTTAGGAATCATGACAGTGTTAGATTGGCCATGATGACTGGTTGAACCGGATTCATCCTTCTTGAAACTAAGCAAGTTTTGAACAAGAGTCTTTCTAATCTTCTTCAAAGTTGGGTGAACCCTCTTTGCACCATCCTCTTGTTGTTTCTTTCTGATTGGTTGGGCAATTTCTTCAAAATAGTGCGCATAAAGAGCAACAGCTTCATTGTCAAGAGCATGGAAAGCTTCCTTGAGGAGTTCATTCATTGCTTGTTCAATGTAGAGACGAACAGTGTTATTCTTGATAACAGATCTGTAGACTCCCATAAGACGATTCATCAGAGAACGTGCTGTGGTGAATGATGAGAAGGTATTGAGGAAGGTAGAATGGAAAACACCTCTCAATTCAGTTTCACCTTCCAATGTTAGCATTCCTACGAATTTTTCCACCAACTTCTTCAATGTACCAGATGAAATTGTACTACGCTTAATATCAACATTGACATCTTCTGGTTCATCTTCCAAATCAACTTCACTCTCAAAGTTAAGAACATAAGAAAATGGTTCCAAGAGCAAAGCCATACATTCCTTTGAGATTTGAATAGACTCACCAATAGCCTTATCACCCATCAGTTCTTCAGTGTACAAACTACAAGCTCCCAAAAGCCATCTCCACTTTTGTTCAACCTTACGTTTTTGGGCGTAAGGAACTCTGTCCTTCTTTGGAATTGTTAGGTCATATAAATCTGGACAGACAAGACTGTGGTTAAAGCTAGTAAGGAATGGATGCAAACAATCTTGGAATATGAGAGACACAACCTTGAATTCATCCTTCATAGTCAATTGGAAAATCATGTTAAATATCAATCTTGAAATTGAACGCAAAAGCAAGGATTTGACTGGAGTCATTGTCTTGGTATTTCTGGTGATTTCTAGTTTTGAAATGACTTGGACATATTCTTCCTTGTTAGCCAAGAGCTTATCTATTGGATATTTAACATTGATATTTTCAAAGATTTGATTGAGAACATTCTTCTCAGTGATCTTGCTGAGGATATAATTAACAGACAAAACTGTTTCGATACGAATATTTCTTTGTCCTCCCTTCTTCCTTTCTTTTGGAATGGATGAAGAATAATCGAGGTGATGTACAGACATGACTACATAGTCTAAGAATGAAATACAATTGATCATCACGTGTAGAGGAGCTTGAGTCCACCATTGGATGAGTCTTTGTTCTGAGAGGTTTCTCAAAACCCAAAGAAGACAGAAAGAGGTCAAGATGTAAAGTTCATCATTGTGGAACATTGTAAGGTATTCTTCCTTATCCATATATCTGTCAACAAAATACAAGAAAATTTCTGCAATAGCGGCTCTCTTGGATGTATCTTGATATCTTGAATCAAAGTCAATCTTGCAGAATAAATCTAACAAGTATTTGCCAACTTTGAGCATGAGCTTTTCATTATTAGTTTCAATGGTGGCAAAGAAAACATCAAATAAGTGTCTAACCATAAAGTTTCCTTCTTGCAATTGCAAACTGTTGAGTGGAATGAAATAGTCATAGTCGCACAAAATGGCAACAAACTCTGACTTTAATCTCAAAAGTGCTTCAGTACTAGCATCTCCTGAAAGACAATCCATATAGTGCTTGACAATATCAATATAGTATTCTCTATCAATGAATGGAATTAAATCTCTAATAAACAATGCCAAGTTTCTGTTACTATTCAAACCAATATTTTGTCTACCTGAACCACTAGAAGACAATAATTTCTTTGTACGAGAACAGAAGTGATGCATTAATTGTTTGACCTTTCTCACAAAGTATTCTTGAGAAAGTGGATGTTCATCATTCCACCCATATCCATCGTTAGACTTATTCAAATACCAACTGTCCTTGATGGTGAGACAATCCAAAGAATCAGTCTTGATACACAATGTCAAACTCTTAATAATAACATCAAAGATAAACCAAGAGAAACGGAACGGATCGTGTTCAGTCAAATTGTTAGTAACAAAGTAGTGTTTGGTTGGTTCTTGCAAAATCTTTGTCAATTCTTCCAAATAGTCAGTAAAGACACGAGTTAAAACTGAATAAATTGGATAACCTCTATTCATTTCGTCAAAGATATACTTGGTATATGAAGCCATAAACTTGTTACCTCTGGTATGATTCTTAGTAAGATGGTAAACACCTCTCAAACAGACCAATACTTGTTCGAAGATTAATCTTTCAGCACCCTTTCTCAAATCAGTAGAGTGAATAGATAAATCAGAAATGTTACTCATGAGTTCAAACAAAATATTCATAACAATTGGTAAGTGAGGCATAAATAAGGAAAAGTCAATATCACAGAACTTCATCAAAATGGATCTGCAAATGTATTCCAAAATCTTTTCCTTATTCTCAGTCTCAGGGCTATACAAATCGTGAATACTGGCAAAGAAGAGTTTCAAAATATCATCACGTGGATTGATTGTTGAAACAAGTTGTGCCATAAGCTTGAATCTGGCATCACTTATTTTTTCAAGAGTGCCCTTAGTTTGACTCTTAGTAAGGTAATCTGGTTGGAGTTCCTTGTATACTCTGAGTTCTCCAGTAAAGAATTGCTTTTGGAAATCAGTATGTTTGAGTTGATAGATTGCTTGTGCCTTGTCAGCTTCATAAATCTTGTTCTTTTCAGTCAAATCCAAGAATGAATAACCTAGGATTGCTCTATCACTGTTACCAAAATCATCCTTTCTATCCAAGAATTCATACTTTAGCTTATTAGACTTTTTATCAATATCAATATGATAGAAAGTGAAAAGCAAGTGATTACCCTTGTTTGAAACAGCTGGAATATCAAGCTTAATTTCATCAAGGAATTGTGGAGTCTTATTATCATACTCAAGAGCAGAGAATTCACTATGCTTCTTTTCAGAAGTAAATCTGTTAATAATGACTGGATTAGATTTTTGAAGCTCTTCCAATGTTGGAATAGTGCTATCTGATTCTCTGAAAATTACCTCAATGAGAATGTTCTTACCATTAGCCTTTTCCAATTTGACACCTTGTGGATAGACATACAAAGTATTTTGTAAGTTCATGTATGGATATCTGATTTTGTACCATGGAATTTCATTAACTGAAATAGACTCTAAAATCTTCATTTGCTCTTCAAAGAGGGCTTTTCCGAAATCACCAGAATTTAGGATGACTGAATTACGACGTTCGGCCTCACTTTCTTCATCTTCTTCTTCCATAACATTGGCAACATCAGTACTATCATCTCCCAAATAATTGTTTGGTGTTTGGTAAGATGAGTGGTCTTCATTGATACTTCCACTGTCTTCAGAATCTTGCTTGTATATGAGTTGACTATCACCAATACCAGCTCCAGTATCTTCTGATGGTTTTGATAACTTGTACTTTTGAAGATCACTGATCAACTCAACGTAAACCTTCATTGTAGCGTTAACAGAATGGTGTTTAGTCTTTTGCTTAAGTGCAGAGTAAACATTGAGTGGATTTTTGTAATCACCTTCAACAAAGAACATTTGTTCAAAGTTCAAAATACTAGATGTCAACTCTATCTTCTTCTCATTGATTTTAAATAAAGGTACAAATCCAAAGAATGCTGGATACCTAAAGAAAGCCAACTTGTCCTTCTTTTCTAAAAATTCGGAACTAAATTCCTTCTTCTTGTGTGCCTTGATTGTATCCTTGGTTGGGCCATTGGATACACGGTTAACAAACAATACCAAAAACATTTCTTCATTTGGTGAAGAAACTGAGAATAATCTCTTCTCAGTTCTAGCAACACCTCTCTTTTGAAGAGAATTATGGAGGGATTCTGGAAGTTTCATCAATTGTTCATCAGTGAACATGTGGAAGTGATAATCTTCGCTGACCTTCTTTAAATATTTGGCATCATAGATGGCAACAGAGAATGTGAATAGATCATTTTGGAGTTCAGTACTATCCATAAAAATAAAATCGCTGCATGATAATTGGAATCTGAACTTTTTCTTGACAGGATATTCAATTTCAGGGAATCTTTGACACATAGTAGTATGGAGTGGTTTGTATTCATATCTTGGTTGTAAAACTCCCATCAATCTCTTAGTATCCTTTTGAACATTTTTACGATTCAATTCGGCAATATCGTTCAATTTCTTTTGAGGATCAACACTCAAACTGTCAGTCTTTTGCAGTTCTGCAGTGAGTTCATTCAAAAGTTCAAGAGGACGCTTAGCACACAATTCCTTAGCCTTTTCAACCAAACTCTTTTTCAAAGATTTGGAAATATCGATTTCATCAAAAGCATCAACAGCCTTCTTTTCACCAGTCTTCTTTTGAAGATTGGCAATTTCCTTCTCTGAAAGGTTTTGTTGATTAGTTACAAGAGAGGTGAAGCTCATTTGTCTTGGGAAGTTTGGATCGTTTGGATCGATGGTTGGAACCTCCTTCTTAGTTTCAGATCCTTCCTTTCCTTCCTTATCGTCCTTCTTAGTACTAGATTCGGTATTTTGTGCAGTAGTCTTGAAGATATTATTCCAAATTGATTTTCTCTTGTCTCTGTTTGTTGCTGCAGGGGAACCGGCTGAACTTGATTTACCACTACCAGAAGCAGCAATAGAATCACGATTACTACTTCTAGACAAGGCATTCTTTAACTTTTTGGACAAGCCACTTTCTGTAAAGTCACCCATTTGTTCAGTAGCACGGAAAAGCTCCTCTGGATCTTTAGAAGTTTGTACTTCAGTAGCCTTTTCAGCTTGGGCTTTTTCAATGTCTAAAATCTTGGACATGGAAGGTAAGATATCGTCATCATTTGTATCTTGATTCTCCTCTTCCTCTGATTTCTTTTGTTCCTTCTTATTCTTCTTAGCTGATTTATCCTCATGTTCAGTTGATTGTGTTGCTGTTGTTACCGTAGTACTGTTAGTAGGAGCCTCAGAATTAAGAATTGCATATTGTGGTTTGAAAGGAGACATTCTGTATGGATTTGCTTCATAATGCAAAATCTTGAATGGTTTATAGAAAACTTGCAAACAGTGTCTCACATGAGGGAATTTGAAATAAACAACTTCCTCCAAATTAGTATCTGCATCACTTGATTTCTTTGTAACTTTTTGTAAATATCCACCTCCGTAAGAAAGGAATCTGAAAAAGTTTTTAACAAGTAATCCCTTATGTTCTGAATTTTCTTTGCTTGGTGATGTTTTTGTACCATTACTACTGGATTCATTGGTGGAATTGCCTGTAGCAGGAGAGAGTGCATTTTGTTCAGAAGGTGATCCAAGAGTATTCAATGATGTATTAACACTACCACCTCCGCTACTAATGAGCATACTATTAGAATGTTGTTGAATTCTCATACTTGATGATCTCATCAAAATTCTTCTAGATGTCTGATTACGAAGAGATCCAGTATTGAACAATACCATCCACTGTGTTTGATCAATTTCCTCAATTGAAAATGGATCCATAGCTTGCATATTCACTGGTAAAGGTGATTTTTGCTCGCTGCTCTTTCCATTAGTGTCATCAGAGAGAGTTGAAGCAATCATTTTCATTAGCTTTTGTTGACGTCTCTTTTCCTCTTCTGTCATTGGTGGAGGAGGAGTGGCAGGTGGAGGAGGAAGAGGTCCATTATATGAAGTAATAGTGAGTTTTCCACTTGTAGTTGTAGTAACAGTGTTATTATTATTGGTGGAAGATGTAGAACTGCTAGCAGAACTGGTAGTGTCATGCTCAACACTTGTTTGACTAGTTGATGATGATGTCACTTCAGTGTGTTGTTGTACAGGTTCTTCTTCTTCGTTTAGACGTGGAGTTGGTTGTTCAACACTGATGGCAACATCAGCAACAAATGAAGTTGAATTACTGGTAGTAGTATTATCATTAGTGATACTAACAGCTACCTCTTGTTGTTCAATTACAACAGCATCACTGTTGGAGTCTGCCCTAGAAACCAATGTTTCTTCTTGTGTAATATTAGTGGAAACTGGTTCATCAAGTACTACTTCTTGTTGGACAACATCAGTGGACGATGTTTGTGATGAGTCAATAATGACCTGGCCAACAGGTGTTTCTTCTACAATAATTGTATTCTGTTCTTCGACAATAGTCTCGCTTTGTACCTTTGATACTTCTTGTTGTTGATGATCATCGTGGTCAACATTCGTTATTTCTGCTGTACTTGTAGTTGAAGAATTCAAATTGTTGGAAACTGGTTCATCATAATGATGATTTACTTCTTCTATTGTTGTTGTAATTGCTTCTTGTGGTTGTTCTACAGAATTGTTGCTGCTGTCATCACTTGCCTCCTTATGATGAGTAGAAGAAGATTTAGAAGGACTACCTTCAACTTTTGTATCCACAATAGTAGCAGTAGAATTATTATTATCATTGGAATTGTTGGTAGTAGTGGTACTATCATCATGACTAGTTGGAGGTGTTATTGTTTGTGGTTGTGATGTATTATCTAGTTGTTTTTCTTCATCATCAGAAAGACTACTTCTTCTTGATGAATTAGTTGAAGAGGAAGAAGATGAAGTGGATCCTTCTTGATGTTCATCTTCTTGATTGCTGACAGCAGGTTGATGATGGGTTATTGATGAGTGATTTACTTCATCAACATTAGATGATTCATGATGGTCCATTCTTTTCTCCTATACATAATATTGAATTGTTGTTAGTAAGATAATTGATTGTCTACTTACATAAAGCTTTATTTCTTCTCTCTTCCTTGTAGGTAGTGCAGGATGATGATTGGAAGTAAAATGGCTCTGAAACGAGAGAAAAAATAATCTAAATTTTTTTTGCTGATGTGAAAATATTTGTCAAATGTCAACTGCTTGTTGGTGACAAACATTTTCGCCTCAACAGACATCACCTAAACCCATCGCTTCAGACTAGAACTTCATGTTGACACAATTTCCTTAATATTGAAAATAATTCAACTTTCAACTTATTGTTGATGAAGCCTTCTTGCATTCTCTTGTAAGAGAAACAAATATTAAGGTACATTGATGTTGTATAGCATGTTACTCAAAGAGGTCTTTTACTCTCCTCCAATCCATCACTTTTCGTCAGTGAACAATAATCTTCATCGGAAGCCAAAAAATATCTATCCTTTCCCATAAAGATTTTATCTTCCCTCACTTCCTGTTGATGCTCAAGGGTCAACGTTCATTATTGTTGTTGGTTGTGATATGACTCATTGAGGTGATTGAGATATTTTTTATTTTAATTAATTAAATTTTAATTTAAATATTTGGCGGCAAAACGCCTTAACGGATTTACTAATTGCAGATAAACAATGAATATCTTGTAACCCAGTAATTAGCTCACAATCATGTCAATGTTTGGCAATTATTTATCCTACTATCAAGATGCAACAACACAAAAAAAATGTCCTTCTTATCTACTCAAGATGTCTTCATCCCTTTTGGTGTGAATCTTCTTTCCTTGGCTGCTGGCGTTTGTCTTGGCTTTGGTTATTTGCTTTTATCTGAAAAGATTAACCCACCTGCAAGAACAGATGTTTCTGATATCACAAGAATTGTAAAGATTTGTGCTCGTTATGGATTTGCTGGTGTTGCTATTTGTTTCTTCTACTATTTGATTAATGTTGGTTGGAAACCTGCCTTGTCTATTGTTGCTGGAGATGCTGCTATATTGTTGGGCTTGAGAATTTCTGGATTTTGGCAATAAATTGTTTTACAATTCCCATTACATCAGATTTGTTGTTCTATTCAATAGATATAATACGAAAGCTTACCATATTTCATCTCGCAATGATTGTAAGATTACAATATTTCATCTCGCCTTACTGCTACTACTGTAATTTCATTGAGGAACTCTTCTTTCGAACTCTTAATTCCAAAACAGTTGCAGGTCATTACTGTCCAAAATAGATATTCAACAAAACGAAGAGACATTAAAAACCAAAAAAAGGTGTGCCTAAGGATTATAATTACACTTTTCTTTAAAAAAAGCATGCAAATCATATTGGATTTTGTCAAGTTTGTGGTTGTTCCAATCTTGTTTGCAGTCTTTTCCTTGTTTTTGGGATCAATGGTTGGAATTGCAATTGTTTTTCTCAATGAAAGATACATAAACAGTTCACCCACCAATCACAGAAATCACTACGTAGCCAATTTACTGTTCAGTTTTGCAATATTGGGATTAATCGTGTCGATGGCAGCTAGCATTTTGTGGATTGGATGGCAATGTATCATCACCATTGCTTTTGCTGTTTTATTAGTCTACTACTTTGTTACATAGACTTCTTCTCTCGGATGCCTTTCTCTTGAATGTATTGTGAATCATCCTACTGTGTTTCTTTCCAATACTTTTCGTGTTCCCTGTTCTTGATAGTTAGAAATAATAACAACAATGATGAACTTGAATATTGTCTTTTGAAATAAGAACAATAAAAAAATAGAAAACATTGTTTGGGGACGAGTTAATATTATTATGAAGCGTCTATTTCCATCGACACAGGAAAGAGTTCGTGGTGTTCTCTTTGGGCTAGTGGCTGGTGATAAGAATCATGGACCTCAAGCGATGGGCATAATGGTTGGCAAGGCTTTGATTGATAATAAGAAGAACAGTTCAACTTTGGAGATGAAAGTGCCATCCTCCGAACGTTATTCATTGGAATTTAATCAATTATTGACTAATATATTGAAAAATTATTTGCATTGGTATCATTCCAAGTCGAAGGGATGGTATGATACTGGTAAGTAGTAGTAAAATTGAGAAATTGTTTGGAATGATCAATTATCATCATCATCATTAATAGGACAAATTGGAAAGGAAATATTTGACAAGTTTAAATCAGGAGATTTTAATGGAGAATCAAATGATGTGAAGGAATTGGAAACGCAATTATATGAAGTGGCAATTGTAGTGAGACAATTGGATAATCAATTGAATGGACAAACTGGTGGAATTAATCCAGCTCATAGAAATGTAGTATTGAGCATGTACAATAGAATTAGTGATGATGATTTGTTAAAGATGGCAAAGGAAGAGACCAGATTGACTCATTATTCAGTATTTGCTTGTGAAGCAGCACAAATGCAGAATTATATTTGTAGAAGATATATCAAAATGAATATTTCTGAAAATGAGCCAAGATTATCAATTCTTGCAGTTTGTAAAGAGTTTGTGGAAAACAATCAATTGTCAAAGGAATTTAAAAATTCATTGAATCAAGTTTTGGAAAATAAGGAATTTCTGAGTGGAGATTCGAATGCAATTGCTTTACTGAGAAAGTCCATTTCAAGAGGAGGTTTTTCACCACAAACTTTGGCCTCTGCACTGTATTTTATCATTCTTCATACAATGCTCATGGAAAATGAGTACACATCTGAGAGAGAAATGGCTGTGTCATGCCTTCTCGATTCGTTCCAATTTGCTGGCAGTGCTAATTATTGTCCAGTATTGGTTGGTCCAATTCTTGGCTCAATGTTTGGAGATTCAGTTTTCTTTAACAACTCTGAGAGTGAAGATGATTTGCTCTCTCATTCTAAACGAATGGAGGAAGCCCTTGAAGTTTGTACTGAGCTTGCAGATATGTGGAATTAAAAACTATTTATTTTGTAAAAATATAATGCATCAATTATGGATCTATGAAGATATTGGCTGAAATAATATTGCAATTGCAATATTGGATAAATTTACGGTAAAATGCTCCCTAAACAGCAAAGGGTTAAAGGTTCTCTGGAAATGCTTCCAACACGATAGTAATTATATTCTCGATCTGACTGTGCCCAATTAGGATTTCACAAAATTTTTATGCATTTCAATACTGCTGTGCATTGCAAGCATTTAATTGAACTACCACAATGGGTCTATAATCAAGAGAGGATCAAAAATGGAAAATTTACATTTTGAAACCTCTGTTCCAGGAACAGTAGATGAGATAGGTAAATATCTAATTAGGTACTTTAATGGATTATTTATTCGTTGTTGGCAAATCGAAGGATGCAATGTAGACTGAACGTTGTTGAGGTATCGCATTGGATATCATGACAAGCAACTCCATATTATTTCTCACTATCGATTCAACTTGTATCAGTGAAGAATTATTCAACGATTGAAACAATCGTATTCTTTCTGAAAATTCTTCAGATTCTAGCAAGTCTTTTGAGATTATTTCCTTCTCTTGACAGGTCATGGTGTGAGCCGTTCTGTGCTCTTTCAATTCCTTTGCCAAGAGCAAGTTTTCAAATACTTTGGTCACTGTTGCTTTGATATATAATTGAAGTTGGCAATGAATACATTGGCATGGGGAATTAGTAGTAGAAGTGGTGGTGGTGCTATTGTTCAATGATTGATTGTTTGTTGTGTTTGTAGAGGATGAGGATAATGGAATGGATGGAGGTTGTGTGGATGGTGTTACATTAGTGGAGGAGGAAGAAGATGAATTGGAGGAAATGGAATTTCTCATTTCAATCAGAGCAGCCAAAATCAATTGTTGACAATCAGCACTCGTTGAATTGTTGGTGGTTGTGTTACTACTACTACCCATTGGAATGTAATTTTGCAAGAGGGGTACTATCAATTTGAGAATGTTATCAAAATTGAAAGAGTTAGATGTAGCATTCACTAGAACTGGAGGAGCAACAGTGGCTGCTTGTTGTCTCTGATTGATTCTCTCCTGTTGTTGAAGAGCAATTTGAAATTGTCTCAATGCTACAATGTGTCTGCCACTTCTCATTCGGAAGGTCTTTCTAATTTTCCCAATATAACTCTTCGTTGACCTCATATCAGAATAATAGTTATTATCATAATCACCACCACCATCCTGTGTTGTTGTATTACTACTAATACTAGAGGTGCTATTGCTATTACTGAATAATGTTGTCATCTCCATGGTGGTGACGAGATTCTTCAAGTATGTTCGTTTATTATTTGAGCGCTATTATGAATCTCTATAAGGAACAAGAGACTCTACGACCGAATATTTGTGTTGTGTTTTTTTTGATTAATTGCAGTTGAGAGAAGTCTCGAATCTGTTTTATGCTAATCGAAAACCTTAGCGGACGATACATACTTGAATCTCAAAAATATTCTTAGTCGAGATTTAAATCTGGCCATTTTGGGACATCATGGTGTTTTAGGCAACTTTTTTAGCCTCTTTTTTAAATCGATTTAACGTTCGATGAATGTGGAAGTTTTGTGTGTAAGAAAAGTAATATCATGGTTAAATCTCGATTCAAGCAGATATATTGAGGTGGTCCCAGGTTTGTTGTAGACTGAAAGAATGTTGGAAAATGTTGCTTGGATTTAAAGCCAGACTACTGTTAAAAGTTCTGAATATGGACACCAGAAGCATAGGTTTCATTTCTGTTATCCATACCTGCTTCAAGCATAGAAATGGAACCAACAAGAAACCCTATCATATAAGAACTCAAATTACAACAAATCAGTAAACAACCCTCAGATTAACAAAATCAAAACAAAAAACAACCTTCTTTTTTGACTGTTGTGTAAAAGCAAAATCATTTGCATTAGCCGGGAGTCGAACCCGGGTCACCAGCTTGGAAGGCTGGTATGATACCGTTACACTACTAATGCTCTTGAAATATTTTTTAAATTAAGGAAATTCAGGAATGTGATGAATATATTTAAGGTGCTTTTGCATATTCCTCCTCAATTATATAAGTTTATTGTAACCTTTTGTAATACCTTGCTTTCAAGAATGAAGATGCATGTACCAATATTACACTTCAACTTTGATATTGTGTTAAATATGAACTTGGTTCATTTAAAAATAGTGCAAATTTTCAAAAAAAAACAAATAGATAACAACAATATGATTAGCTATTCTTCTTTGAATAATTCCTCTACAAATGGTGGATCTTCCAATAGAACCTCCACATCTTCTTCTTCTTCTCATCAATTTAGATCGGAACATCAGAATTCATCATCATCCTCTTCTAATACAACAACAACAACACCTTCAAGTAGTAGTACTTCTGGACGAAATAATAAGAATAATCAGAGAGGTGGTAAATCTAATAATGGAAAAGGTGGTGGAAGAAATAATCATCATTCGAATAATAATAATCAAAATCTTCAAAATGAAGAATTGAAACAGGCTGGAACTGGACTTCATTTAGATGCTTGGCCATATAATTTGTGGGCTAAATTGAGAAAGGACATGAGTTATGGTCAATTGGATAGATTTAGACCATTCCAATCGATGGTTTGTTTGACAGATGGTCATGAAGATCCAACTTTGAAAGAAGGTGGATTGGAATTAATTCCTGGATTTTCTGCAATTGCAGAAGAGTATTTCCCAGCCACTGACAGAAAATACAGAGATGGAAAATCATTTAGAGTGAAATCACCTTGGATTAGTTCATATCATATTAGATTTAATCAACCTGAAGATACTGATTTGTTTGAACTTGTTAGAAAGGTGAAAAGAGTTCCAAAAGATTGGAAGGCACCAACTAGTGCATCTGTTCCTTCTGCAGGATCATCTGTGGAAGAATATATGAAATATGTCAATATGGTTGTGAAAGAACATGATAATATTCCATATGAACCTGTCAAGAAGGGAGATTTTGTTTATTTTGACATTAGATCTCCACATAGAAATTCAGATGCCAATCACATGGATAGACCTAGAAGTGTATTCTATCATGCTTACTCTGTATCAAACAAGGTCAATTTGAAAACTATTGAAAATTTGAAGGAAAAGAGAAAGAAGTTTGAACATCCTGAAGATTTCAATGGTAAATTCAGTATGGAACAAAAGGTAATGAACACTGAAACTGATTTGTTACCTCTCTCAACCCTAGGAAAGTGTCTCTATAATGAAATTTCATACAACCCCCTCTTGCAAGAAGATTCTAAAGATGACGCTATCAAGGTGATTCTCGAAAAACATTCAGATGTTTTAACACAAAGACATATTGATTTCTATCATAGATATGGATATGTTGTTGTGGAAAATCTAGTCTCCAATGAAGATGTCACTCAACTTTTTAAGGAATTGACTCATTATTCCGCCAAGTGTGGATGTAAGCTCGATTCTGATTCTCTCACTACTTCAGAATTCAAAAAAGTTGCATCTGGTTTTGGAGCTATGGTCGAATTCTACTATCTTCCAACTCAACAAAAGTTGAGAATGGATGAAAAGTTGTATGCTTCCACTGTTAAACTTCTTTCCAATACTTGGTGTGCCAAATCTCCAAATGCTCTCAAGGTACCATATAAATGTCCATTTGCCAGCGATTTGGATCCAAGATGTTTGTGGCTCTATGTTGACAGAATGAATTACAGACTTCCAGATAAGCAATAAGTCAGCCACACAATTTATAAAATAAACCTGAATCACTAATTTATTATTGATAAGTTTGACCAAAAAGATGACTAATATATTGAGCATTGCTTCCAGTCAATTGTATCAATTCAAATAATCTCTTATAACCACCATAAACAAAGGATGTCATCAACTCTTGATAATAATCTTTTGGAATTGAATGAGCTTGTTTTGGAGTTCTTCCCACCGACATTGCATATAATGCCTCTGAAACAGAATGCTCATACTCATAGTGTGATTGAATCAAAAATTCGTGTAAATCGAAATTCTTTCTTTCAATTTTGTGATAGACTGATGGAGGATTGATAAGTTTGGCAAATGCTGTTGGCATGGTATTCTCAATGTATCGATTGGACATAATTTCTGAAGCTCCAGCATTGAATGCAGCTACTACTTCCTTATCATAGATGACTCCTTGAGCCACTTGTTTTGACCAACCTTCCAAAAGGGCTGGATGAATGAGAACATCTGAAAACTTCACTAAACTGCATTCATCTTTGAAATTTCTATTCAAAAAGAGAACATTATCTGAAACATCATTGTCAATAATTAACTTTTTCACATATTGCTCATACTTGCTGTTAATAAATTGGCCACTTATTATCAAGAGTGGTTGAGCTCCATATTTAATCTTCTTCTTTGCATAGGAAAGAGCAATAATAGAAACATGATGTCCCATTGCTGGACTAATCTCATCATCCATTTGTGAAACAACAACATAACCATTCGTGCTATTGTAAGGTAAAATTTGTGGATTGACAGTGTAGGGTAAAATATTTTTCTCCCATACGAGGTCTCTCTCATTATATTTCAGTGGTTTGAATGGACAATCTTCTAATTGAGAGTCACTAATTCCATTACTAATCACAACCATCTTGTTAATATCCAATCCAAGATTCATATCTGAAAATATGGCTACATCTGAAGAGACACTCGTGTACATGGATGTATAATGATCTGCCTTGTAAAATTTTTCCAATAACTTCTTGTGCTTATCCTCCAAAAGCCACATGTACTGATTGTGAAGAGTTTGAACAATTGGAATGTTCAATTCCTTAGCAATTTCTAATCCAAAGGTCGAGTAGTGTGCATTGACCACTGTGAATTTTTCACTTTGCAACAATTGCTTATACTCTGCTTTGGTTTGAACTCGTTTGACTGGAATATTTTCACTCGAGGATTTGATTTCCAATTTTCCACAATTAATAATTGTAACACGGGCATTGTGATCTCTCAAGTATTGGGCCAATTCCATGACAATTGCATCCATTCCTTTCAAATGAGCATGGAAATCCTCAATTTGAATGGCAACGTTCAGCTTGATTGGCTTTGGATTCTTTCCTTCAAAGTATTGCACATATTCGATTTCATTCTTGATTTCTCTACTGAATACCATCACCGGAAGTGCTTTCTGTTTGATGAGAGGTGAAATTGTGAATGCATCTGCTCCTTGAATTCTTGTAAGACAATGCAAATTGGCAGCAATTGATGTTGATCTCTTCTCCTCCATCAATAACACTTGAGGCATAAAGAGGGCAGCTCTATTATAAATTGTCTTGTCATTGGTAACGAACAAGTTGAATCTCCTTTTCAAAAAATGTCTAAATCTATACAAGAAGAAGGTAAATGTTTCTTCTAATTTCGTCTTTTCACTTTCGTCAATACTTTCTGGTAAAACCCAACTCAATACATTACATTCCGAAAGTTCCTTCAAAATGTCAAATCGTTTAAACTTGTTCAATACTTCCATTTCATTCATATCCTCAATTTCAAATAAAGCATCGAAATGATTTCGTTGAATAATTTCTTCCATATCTGCCATGTGAAGTGGAGGATCCTCTCTCTGATAAAGCTTCTTTCCAATTCTTTCTACCAAGATATCAGTCCAAAATTGAGTGCTCTTTTCAAATCTTTCCTTCCAGGTGCTTGGAATAGTTTGGATATCACTATTTTCGAAAACATCAAATTCCATTCCATCAATCCAATCGAATAATTCATTGGAAATCAAATGGTGATAAGGATATACCATTGAAGGAAGTGATGAAAATTTAGATTCTTCAGAACAAACAATCAACCATGCATTTGAATGAGATTCCATCAAATTCTTAACAGTTTCCAAATTGACATCTCTATCTTCATGGTTAACAATATGAACTCGAATTTTCTCACTAGTTTTAACATTTTCTGATATGAATTCACTCAATTTCTTTTGATTAATTGGATCATCTCCACTTGCTGTTCTAAAAACAATTAAATCCAAAATATTATCACTATTCGAAGGTTGAAACTGTTTCGACCACGTTTGCAACAAGTAATTATTCAATCCTTTAGCATATTCCTTGACCATTGATTGTTTTCTTTTTGCCATTTCGATCTTTTCACTATTCGAAAGAATCTTTTTTGAATTAATTCTTTCTCTGATAATTCTTTCAACTAGAATACTGTCATCTTTTCTAAAAATTTGCATGATTACCCATAAACCCAGGGCCACGAACGTGATGGCCACAAGTAAAAACAATCCAATAATTAACCAAAACTTTCGTCTTAGGATTATCTTTACCAGTTTGCTATTCGAAAGGGAACGAGTACTCCAAGAGTCCCTTTCTGAAAATTGTACAGGGGCATAATCATAGGTTGATGATGAATGGCCAGATTTTTTCCTGCCACTTTCGGAAGGATAAACTTCCTCTTCATTACTGTTTCGTCTAGACATTTTGTATCTCGGATTAATATTTGACAAGTTTGTAGAGGATAAATTAATATTTACATGATCTGAAGTGTTTTCCTCTTCTTCATGAGTTGTTGTTTCTTCTGATAGATTCCTGTCAGTAGTACTACTGTCATGATGACGATTCGAATGGTTGTGCATTTTTTTTTAAAGGTTTTTTGAAATGAGATTTTACGTTGATTGATGGAATGATGGGGTTTGAAATAAAAAGATTACGCCGTAAGGGAGTCGAACCCTTGACCTTCAGCGTGTAAAGCTGACGATCTAACCAACTGATCTAACGGCGCTTACATTCAAAACGTGGATGAACCATATTTTGTGTACTTGTTATTTGACTATCTGCGTTGTAAAACTTTTTGCTTGTGCTACCTTGAAAACAACCCAAACGCAGCTAAATTGCTAAAAACCAACAAAAAAAAAAGTCTACACAAGTGCGTAACAAAAATTCAGCTGAAAATTCAAGAATGACTAAATCGTGATCAGATGCCAAGCACAAGAACCAACACCTCCAAGAATCAATCTACCAAGAGAAAACATGAAGAATCAACAAATATCACTGATTCCGAACCACAAACAAAAAATAGAAAAAAAAATAAAAATCGTGATGAGCGTCATGATGATCAAGAAATTGACAACCAAAGCATTGATGTCCTCTCTGCCAAAACCAACTCAACAACAACCAACAAGAAGCAATCAAGAAGAGATCAATGGTACGCTTACGAATCTAGTGTATATCGCATTGATGTGTCCCTCCTGTTGAGTAGACATGTAACTCTCTCGCTGACAGACATTTTATTTGATTATCAAAAGATTAGAGATGAAACAATCAAGGTAATTTTGCAGAATTATGAAGAAACTTTGATGGTAGATGTGAATAATCCTAATTGCCATTCAATGATGAGTCATGGTCAGTTGCATCTCAATGAAAGCATTCAATATAAGAGAAATCAATGCAAAATTATTGAAGATGAGAAATGTCGTGAAGCTTACTTGTGTGTTCACTCTAAGGAATTCACCAAAGATTCAGTCAAGAAAGCTGACGAAACGCTCATGTTTTCATGTGATGGATGGTTAATTTACAGATGTGATAGAATGAAGGGAGACACCCATGCCTTCTCCACAATTCATGGCAAGATGATTGGTGACAAGATCAATACTAAAACTTTGTATTGGTTGGGAATTCATGATTCTCATTGTACTATTAGAAAAATTGAATGGGAAATTAAGGAAATTGTTGATAAGAAGAAAGAGAATTTTCCAGAACCAGCATCCAAGAAGGAAATTGAACAAGAACTTGAAAAGCTAAAGGCAACACCTACCGACTATTTCATTCCAAATAGAGTGTTGGTTGTCGATTATCCCTTCATTGATGCAAATAGTGGTGTTCAGGGTAATTTACAATTTCAACCGCCACATGCTCAAACAGCTTTCCAAGAATCACCAATTCAAGATAATGAAACCAATCCAACCAATTTACCTTTCCAATCGGATGGACATGGAGAATGGACAGATAACTCAGAAACCATTCAATCGGGAGATGATTTTGAGAATAAGAAAAGTCCTTGTCCATGGGGAAATGATATGTATAGTGCTGTGTTATCACCAATTCAAGATAATACCCAAACTATTTTACCTGCCCAAGTAGATTGCTCTGGAACAGAAGAACCTGTAGCCAGTAATTTTGATCTTTTACCGATTCTAGACGAATTCGATAGTGAGATGAAGTTACAATCTAGCGATCTTGTTGATAACATACTAAATATTCTTTACTGTTGAATTCCATATGTATACGGTATAGCAGAATAAATATTATTTCGTATTTTCTTAGAGAATGTTTAAAGAGCAAGATCTGAATAATTTAATTATCAGTAGGTTTATTTAAGAATAGTTTGAAAACTGTTTTCATAGTTTTAACATATGGCTTCTTTTTGTGTTGATCTATACAATCAAATATTTCTTTCTGTCCAATAATATGAACTGTATGTGATGCATTGACGTCTTCATCATAGGCTGTTGCTTTCTTTTTATATGAATTATACTGTTGTTTAAGAGAGGAAATACTAAGTGTTTCCATATTTGGAGAAATAAGCAATCTTAGACATGGATTTGATTCTAATTTAAAATTCTTAATGATGTCTTGAGTGTCTAGTTCGGTGTGTGGAAGATAGATCTCTTTTTTGGTGATTTGTAAATTTTTGAAATTAGTCGTTTCTAACATTCTACAAGCTTTACAAGGTTGAATTGGATTATTAACAGGATCAGAGATTAAGGATATAGCTGAAAGCACTGTGACATGAAGATTCTCCGAATTCTTCAGATAAAATATAAGATCAGGGCCCATTTTGTTATATGGTTTGATACCAGAATCAAGAAATATGTTGTCTAATTGTGAGTACCACATTCCTAGAATATTATTAGAAAGCTCGAGGTCGGATTTAGATAAAGTTTTATCCCTTATAAAGCTGTTAAAATTCAAACAACAGTTGTCAAAAGAGAGGTCTTTTAGCTTTCTAAATAAAGGACTGGAGGAATGATTCTTGGATTTGGATTCTGATAATCTCTCACTTTCTTCCATCAGCAATAAGGTTATAAATATTTCAAAGGTATCCTCATTAGTGGATGTTTCACATCGTCTGGCAATATAGGTCCATAATTCTTCTCTATAATTAGTAAAAACAAATTTGAAATAGCACTTGTAATCTATTGGATCCACAATTTCAAAAAAGTTGTTGGTTCCAATTCGAACTACATGAGCTACCGAGAGAGTTATTAGCGCATTTTCAATAGTCCCTTCTCCACTACATGAACACGGCTGACCAAACAACATTTTGAATATTGTTTCCAGAAAAACATGTCTATCACCTGAATCTATAAATTTAACAACCTTACTTTGAGCATGGGCTACTTTCTCTACCACAACATCATCCAAAATGCTCATACACACACTTTTCAATTGTTTGTTGGTTGGTTTGTGTAAAGTTCTTGAGTTCATAAGGAGAGCCTTATGAAAATCAGTGGTGTGTTGTGGAGGTCCTGATAACAAATAACAAAATAAAGCCATGTTTTTGGGACTGAGTGAAAGGTTGAATTTGTGTTCCAAAATTGTTTGAACATGAGTTGGTGACCAAGGTTCAAGACTACCCATTACAATTTTTGAAATTAGTCTCCCATTATCTGAAATACTTAAATCCACTTTAACCAAATTCAATGTGCTGCCTATGAAAACGACATTATTGAAGGGTAATATTGCCTTATAAATTGCGTGGAAAAGGCTCCCCTTTGTGCCATCAGAAAGATCAATTGAGCCTTTCTTCATATTCAATAATTCTTGAGATTCATCAAAGGCAATTACAATTTTCACTTTATACCTGAGTCGAAATTCAAGTGTTAAACGTGAGCAAATTGTTGAGAGTGTTTCATTTTTCATCATGGAAAACAATGGCTTCCATAGCTCCCAACTGGTCATAAGTGGCTGTCTTTTTCCTCTCATATATCTATTAATCAATACTTCTCAGAATAACTATTGAATGATACCTACTTGAAAAAATCAATTCCTGAAATTGTTTCATCATATTCCAATAATGTTTTAACAATTAACAAAGCTGATAGTACCATCATCAATACGGATTGTGTAACATCTCCATCAAAATCTTTCATTGCATTAATAACATTATCTGAATAACAATTGAAGTAAAGGACGAAAAATCTCTCATAAATGGAAGTATTTGTTGGTGTTGAGCTAGCCAAATTGAAAATAGTATATGTTTTTCCCGATGAACTCAAATCAATAAATTTGATCATAGTGTAACCATCCTGATCCCTTCCGAACATTGTGGGTTCCTCTAACAGATTTCTAAGGTCTTTCCCCTTTGACTCAGGAACTCGAACAGTGTCAAAGTTGGAAGACCAGACACTAAGAGCTTCCTTATCAAACCCTTCAAGAGAACTTGGCAACAAAGGAGTTCTGAAAAAACTCCCCAATATCGCTCTTTGTTTTTCTGTTTCGTTTGCAATGTTAAGTTTCCCACAACTGCTTGTCTGTTTTGAAATGGTAGACTTGTGCCCTTTGTGCCTCCAATGTTAATAGAATAATGTTAATGTGCTGAATTTTTGTTCGAGAATGTCCTTTGAAATGTAACTCACTAATTGAGGTTTGTGGACCCAATAGGCAATCGTGTGACTAGTGGCATTCACAAATGGTTGTTTGTTTTTCTTAAATCTATCACTGATATTTGCTTCAGTTTCTTGTATGTCGGCTCCTCTTAGAAACTTCAAATCAGATCCCTTAAAATTGTCTAAAAGAAGGAAAATCGCTTTAGTAAAGTCAAGGCTCATTCCTCCCTCAACAAGACCAAGCATTAAAACTTTGCAAAAAGTTAAAGAGTCCCACAAATGATAATTTTCAAAATAAATCCTCTCGGAGTTTTTTTCTATTGTAGATTGCATTGTATTATTTACTTCTTTTGAGGATTGAGTTGTGGTGTTGTTCCTTTCTGTTACGGTTTGGCTTTCATTGTTTTGAGTTGTGTTGAAGAGAAATATTAAAAAAGCGATGAATGCAATAAACAAAATCAAATAGTCTGTTAAGGTCATTTTTTACATATTCTCCCATAAAAAATTGTTAGAACTAAGTACATCCACCATATTAAGACAAAATCTAGCACATTTATCATGCAATTTTATTGCAGTCTGTGAGTGAAGTAAATATGATAAATTGCCACTCTCTATACGTTAGAATTCAACGTCGTGGACTCTTGCTCAGTTCCAGAGGATTGTGAAACTTGGAATTATTGCTTCCTGTGTGTCAAAACACCATAATCCAAGTCATAATTGTGGTTGTTAAAAGGGAGGGTGGTATGTGGATCGGAAGTTCAAATACTCTAATGAACAATCATAAACGACAAAATTTCGAAAATAATATCATCATGAAAAAGGTTAAATACTGTACAAGCTCCTTCCTAGTTCGTGTTGGTGTTTTTTAATAATGTATCGGGTGAGATTTCACTTACTGTAGTCGTTGGATTATCTACACACGAGGTATACATTTGAATTTCCAACATTTAAACCCCACCAACTCCAAAACTTGCTTGAAATTCCGCTCACTCTTCCATTAAGATTCAAAATTAAGGAGTAGATTAGTAGCCGATTAAGGTCACCATCTACAGCTCAAATATAAAGCTGATTGGAAACCAGGTAACAATACTCCATATCGAAAAAATGTTCAAATTCAACACCATCTATCTTTTAGTTGTTGTGGTAACTCTTTTCATCGCTTTGATAAACAACAATTCTCATGTCAATGCTCTTCAGTTGCAAACAAGAGCAAATTCCACATGTCAAGTTATGATTAACGGAGCAGAAGTTAATATTGCATCCATCGATAGACCAAAAGGATATTTTATCATTGCAAGATCTGATCATAATATCAAGTTCCTTCTGTAAGTTGTTTCGTTATGTGACATTTGCTTAATGTGTGAAAATGTAGTAATCTTTGTAATGCTTCTCCTAATCCATATTACTGGAATTCACTTTGTAAATTCCCAGCTAAATCTGCTGGATATCAATTCGCTTTTGAATATAATCTTTGTTATTCACTTTCAACTCCAGAAAATCCAAAAGTTTCTTACAATAGTGAAACTAAAACAGTTACCATTACTCATCCTCCAAGTGTTATCAATAGAGATGGAGTTTCAAGACAAATGAAAGTTAGCTTAGTGTGTGACAGAAATTCAAGTTTGTGGCCAGAATTGGATTTCGAAGGAGAACAAAACTTGTTGTCTATCGTTTCTCTGGAAAGACAAGTTATATTTGTCATTAATGAATCCTTTGCTGATAAAGATCTTTCAATTTGTTTCTAATTGTTAGTTTACTTTTCGTATTATCCATGTTGGAAAATTCACCATTAGTGAATTTTATTGATGGTTTGATGATGATGATCATATAGATATTTACCTTAATGATCGGAAGTGAATTTGCTGGTGATCTTTATCATAAACGCTATTCCAAAATGATGATGAGTTCAGTGATGATGTAGAGGAGTGGAAAGTGAGTAGAGAGCAATCATTTTGTTTCTACATTGCTGTTGTTGATTTTGTAGCAGTTGTTTATTGCTTCCCAAGGAAAAAATTGATCAATTATGGCTTAATTTTTGATTTTGCATGACCAATTTGATTGTAAGAAATATCAAGTGATGTTAATTGTTTCATTTCACTTATGAATTTGGCTCCTTCATTATCAATTTCATTGCTACTAATATTAAGTAATGTTAATTGTTTCATTTCGCTTATAATTTTGATTTTGCATGACCAATTTGATTGTAAGAAATATCAAGTGATGTTAATTGTTTCATTTCACTTATGAATTTGGCTCCTTCATTATCAATTTCATTGCTACTAATATTAAGTAATGTTAATTGTTTCATTTCACTTATGAATTTGGCTCCTTCATCACCAATTTGATTGTTAGAAATATCAAGTGATGTTAATTGTTTCATTTCACTTATGAATTTGGCCCCTTCATCATCAATTTCATTGCTACTAATATTAAGTAATGTTAATTGTTTCATTTCAGTTATGAATTTGGCTCCTTCAATACCAATTTGATTGTTAGAAATATCAAGTGATGTTAATTGTTTCATTTCAGTTATCGATTTAGCTCCTTCATCACCAATTCGATTGCAACCTATATTAAGTGATGTTAATTGTTTCATTTCACTTATGAATTTGGTGTTTTCTATGTCACCAAGCAACCAACCAGAAAAATTAAGATTAACAATACTATTCACGAATTGACTTTTTCTGAATAGTTCAATTCTTTTCTCTGTAAACTTTTTTTTAAATTCAATTACAAGTTTTGAACGTTCCTTGATCACATTAAAGAATTGTTTTGAAATTAAAGAACAATTATTCAAAATAAACCATGAATCATCAATCATGGAAATTATTTCAAAGCAAACATCATCCGAAAATATTTCAATCTTCATCTCCATATTGTTATGATTGATCACAATTATTAATATTAATATTATTAGTATTCTTATATATTTGATATAGTTTGTTGTAACTTGTTTGTTCTTTGCTTTTCGACTTGACACCTTCTTGATATTTGCTTTTAAATATTTTTTTTGGTTCTAAACTCGAAGAGGAAATGATTCGTGATAATTTTTCTGGATCGCTGACTTCAAATGATTGGTAAGGTGACACAATATCCAACCATTATCTGTGGATATGAAGTAATATTTCAGATCGTTGTCAGCATTTTTCCTCAGTGAATCTGTAGTTTCACTCTTGAGAGCCTTATTTATCATTGCTCATGCGAAGAGGAGCTTTGAACAATAGGAGAGGTAGAAATGACAAACCTACAGACAGATGCCATCCTTTCCACGTGACATATATCAACTGGAGATGAAAGCACTTGTGTGTCAAAACACCATAATCTAAATCTTAATTCTGAGCTAACCACCCCTTTCAATTGTTTTGAACACTGAGTAATAATTACTGGTAATAAATAGCTGAATTGGTCAAAATTTAGAAAAGATTCAACACTGCTTCCCATTGAATTTTCAAAACAATTGTCATTATTAATAAAATCCAATTTAAACATGTCAATCCGTCCTACCAAAGATGGAGATCAAGTTATCAATTCACATACTGGTTAGCCGTTCTTGTTCAATTACCAAATTATTTCACATGATTCAAAAAACATCAGTGATTAAAATTTACCTGTAGTTCTGACAGAGGCAAATTAGTCAACAAGAATGTCAAATGTCTACATCATTTCATTCACAAAAAAATATCAACAAAATAGCAACATCAAAAACACATCAAAATGGGTAACGGTATTTCTAGAGACGAAATGAAACAGCTTCAAGAGCAAACTAAAAATCGTTTGACCAAGAAGGACATTCAACGTTATCACAAATTCTGGCATGAGCTCTACCCAAGTGGTGACATGACAAGAGAAGGTTTCAGTAAATTTGCACAAATTGCTCTTCCAAGTGCTCCTCCAGATGCTGATGTTGAATACTTGTTCAGAGCCATGGATGCTAACAAGGATGGTACTATTACTGTAAGTGTGTTATATATTTTGAAATAGTAGTGGTTTTTACGCTAATTGATGATGATGATTTTGATATTAT